ATATATAGTGTGTAATGTATAATATATAATTTTTATCTATAAGATTATATATCTATAATTTTTATTTTATTATATATTTTATATTGCATATAATACACTATAAAATATAATATACAATGACTATATCATATTTAATATATCATATATTGTATAATATTTAATACAGAAAATATATGTATATAATATATTACATATTACAAATTACATTACATATTATACATTATACATTATGTATTATATATCATAGATCCAATACCATATATAATTATATAAAAATATATTAATATGTTCTATATGTTAAAAATAAAAATCATTTAGGTGTAATTTCTTAATTGGAGAGCTTATCCTTAAAAAACCTTGTAGAGAGAAAGAAAAACCTCAATTTTTAGTGTGTTAGAGTGAAGTGCTGCAGAACTCAGGGTTTGTGAGACTGTGAGACATAGATAAGAACTAATAAACGAATAAAGTGAAATATTCCTCTTTATTCAGCATTTATCATCAGTCTCATTCATATTGCACGTACTTTATTGGCCAAATGTTTAAAGGTTTAGCATATCCTAATATATATAGAGCAAGGTGGAGGTTTTAGGGTGGAGGCACCTTCTTCTCCATGGGTTTGGGTGGTTTTGTGTAATTAAATAAAAAAGTCCACATTGCGGGCATGGGTGGTTGGTTATTGTGTTAAAAATAAAAAAATAAAAAAAATTAAAAATAAAAATAAAAAAATAAAAATAAAAATAAAAATAAAAATAAAAATAAAAATAAAAATAAAAATATAAAAATAAAAATAATTTCTTAACTGGAGAGTTTATCCTTAAAAAGCCTTGTAGAGAGAGAGATAAACCTCTCTAGGTACAAATATGTGCAATTTGTGTGCCTGTGCCTGAAAATGTGGAGTGGAGGCACATCCAGAGCCATAAATTTGGAAATGAGGAGTGAGTTAACCCTGCTCTGACCTCGCTCGGAGTTCATCCTGCACAGCCCACCTGGAATTGAGGAGGGAGGGGGGAACATGGCCAGTGCAATGTTTATTATTAACTGATTATTATTAACTGATTATAATTAACTGATTATAATTAACTGATTATAATTAACTGATTTATATGATTAACTGATTTATAATTAGCCGATGCCATCAGTTAATGAGGATCTTCTGTCGGGTTCTGGGACCCCCAGAGAAACAGAGCTCACACATGGTGTGTGATGGAGATTTCACTCTCTCCCTACAAGGCTTTTTAAGGATAAACTCTCCAATTAAGAGATTACACCTAAATTATGTTTATTTTTTGGGCAGATGCCGTGTGTGTCTGTTTTTCCAAAGGTGTTTTGTCACACTGCAGAGGAACAAAAGGGATGGGAGCTGCTGCTCCTCTCACGGTGGTGCTGCTGCAGACTGTGAAGGCCTGATCTCCCCAGCAATATGTCAATTATTTTGCTTTTTTCCTGCCCAGTTAAGGATTAAATGTGTGAGATGGGATTTCTTGTTGGGACTCAGATGTTTATTAGTTTTTATCTCTGTCACAGTCCCACAAACCCTGAGTTCTGCAGCACTTCAACAAACTAAAAATGGAGTTTTCTCTCTCTCTCT